AAATGGTTGGAGTATTTTGACTTTTTCATCTGTAAGGACTTAATGACATTGGCTATGAACACTGAAGACTATGCAATGAACATTTAGTTGATTTCTAGTTTATTTTTCAAAACCCAGCATTTCCAAACTATCTCCTGCCAATGCTGTCTGTTTTGTTGTATACAACTAGCATACAGGAGACCAAAACTAAGTTGTTTCTGATGATATTTCAGTATCTGTCCAGTACATTTAGTCAACCCTTTTCCTTTCAGAGAGTTGAAGTTTGATTACAATATGACAACATTATTGCCAGAAAAAGAACTACACGTTGTGTGAGGTGTAGCAGGTGTTTTGATGTCCCTATCATCTGCCAGCCTTTCTTAATGAGCTACCTTTAAGTTCTACAGATGCAACTTTTCAAAAAGATGACCAGAATCTTTTAATCAAGTAAATATGCTTTTAACAAGATATGTGGAAAAGGTTTTTTTAACACCACTCTCATCAGAAGTTACACATAAACATATAGAGGAATTAAAACATTCTATCTTGTGTTTGAGTGTACATATGCTGATGTGAATTATAATTGATGACAATCATATGATTTCTGATCAGTCTGATATAGTCAACAGGAAGTCCTTCTGTTGTGACTAAACAGATTACAATACAGTAAGGCGAGGTTATTAATATTAAATATCTGTCGTAATAATGTTGTGACTAAAAGCATTAACATACACAAATGTATTGCAGTATTATAGAATATTAGCAACTAATCAGCCGATCTGTTGAGCTGCATGTGTATGAGCAGCTACCTCAGCACACACAAGGATACACAAGGACTGATTTCATAACACATGATTAAGAGACATGCCCGTTCCTAGGTAGTGCAGTATGTGTAATCTGTTATTTCCTCTATGGCTCTAACATTTCATATGATGTCCTGTAGTTTGAATAATGGTTAATAAACAAACAAAATGATTGCTAAGTGACACCTAACTTAGTAGATGTTTCCATCAGCATATATACCTTGCTCCACGGCAAGATAATCACTGACAGTATTTGCTCAGTCTTCGCTGTGTCCCCCACCTCATGAGTGTCTAATAACTTTGAAATTGACGCACTGAGTTAAGCTTTCATCCATCTTCTTTGTGTCAAATCTTTTCATTTCGTTGTTATGATGATATCCCCCATCCTGCTTCCCACACATGCAGATGACTTGCCTTTCCCTCCTGGCAGTGTCTCACCCTGTGTGTTGAAAATAGCTCAAGCTAGATCGTAACTTGTGCAACACTAATTTCAAATTCAATTCAGACAGCTACCATGGGGTTCTGGACCGACTCATAGATCTCTCTATGGTACCTCTGTTGGAGGAAAATAAAGAGGATAAACAGATACGGCGCAAAGAACACACTAAAATACAAATGTAGCTGCACATAAAGCTGCTATTTGCAGATGTAAACACAACTATGCACACATAGAGCCTGTCAGTCTTCACTCTGATGCTCTTTTGTGTGTCTGTTATGCTGCCTGCACACAAGTATACTCTTACACAAATCACCAGACTGAGGAGGTTTTTTTATTCAGTTCTTCAGTTATCCAATCTTTCATCTGTCTATCAACTTGAAAGGTGTACGGCTTCACAATGTATCATTTACACAGGAGTGTGCTACTCAGTATGAAATCCTGGACAGTTTCCGTCTGGACTATTATCAGACTGTTTTTAAATGCGTTACATTTCAGGATGACGGGAAGCTGCTTGTGAGCTGATAAATGTGTCTGAGACACCAGGCTGTTCTGGATGTTCGAACAGCTGCAGCTGCTAATAAAAGTGGATTTTTAAAAAGAAACAAAGTGCAGGAGAAGCGTACGGATGCTTCATAACTGATTTTATGTAGGATCAGACTGTGTAAAAGGGTTTGATTTGCCAGCAAGTTAAACAAACAAATAGCTAATTGATTCAGGTTTTATTCCTCAATCTTCCTTTAAACATTCAGGGACTTTTAGTTGTGTGTTTTTAACTGCAGTGGTGTGCATTAATGACTTTAATAATGCCAGTATAAATCTTAATGCTGGCCATGTCTTCCATAAGTGGAATACATGACTGTATGACTACTTTAACTAAATGGGTGATTGCAATTCATTGTTTTATTATGTTAATATCAGATACTGATATTGTATGCCAGTAAGTGACTAAGCTTTGTGGATTACATTTATCCAAGTCTTATACTGTACACATGCCCATACAATAATGTCTTGTCAGCTGCCAGAACAGCTCGTCAGTGCGAGCCTGAAAACTTCTGTGAATTATCAACAGATAACAGATCTACGAGCCCTGTCCATTTCTGACTCGACTGCTGTCTCGCTCTTAGGGATTAGTGTCAAAACATCTTTGCAGCACTAAATCAGCAAGAGTAAATCACAGTTGCCTTCAAATTGTTGGACCATTTTAAAATGATAGAAAGTACAGAGAAGTCACTGTAAAGAAAAGGTGACAGTTGCTACATTTCTTAAATAGTCAATGAAAGTTAAATCACGTATATTTGAGTGATTTTATTCCACTGTGGGTTAAGTTAGCAAGTTACTTAAGTCAATTAAGTTGTTAAGTTACTAAAGGAAGAATTTTTCCCAAAACTGACCTTTATGCAACGTTGTCAGGTTGTCCAGACTAAAAGTCCATGGATAGTCTCTGTTTGGTCATTAGAGACATTGTATATGAAAGCCTTCTGCATAAAAGGACGTTAGAAGAACCAAAAGGAATCACAACTCCTTTTATCTAATTTGCTTTATCCAATTTTTGCAATGAGCACTTGTCTCTCTTCCAAATAGAAGTATCTATTTTACTCAGCTTCAATTCAACATCTCTTTGGACAGTTGAAATAGGTTTGTTTTTTAGTATTTAATGTCATTATGGACAACAAGAGTAGATTACTTTCAACAAAAATTATAGGCTAAAATTAAATTATTCAAACTTTTCATATGTAGAAGGATGTCGCTCTTCAGATGGCAACCTTTTGTATGTTTATTTTCTATTTATACTTGTGGCTGTAGTCTATTGATTTCTGGACTGAATCATACCTGATGAACATTTGTTACTCTAACAAATGCTAAAGCCATCAGGCTGGGTGAGCAAACATCATGATTTTTTTTATTTTGGTTCTACATGCTCATGTGGACAGAGTTTAAGATTTCAACCTGGCAACTTGGAGGCGGTTTGCACACTGATTTCCTTCTTCTGGGTTTGTCTCTACTGCCCTCTTTCTGTCATGCAGTATGTGTCAGTTAGGCCGTTTGTTGCATGAGTATGAAAGAAGAGAGGGAGAGAGGATGCAGACTTTAGCTCACAGCTCTTTTGGTTGGTTGTTCCCCTTCTGTTCCCTTCTTTTCCTTTAATATAACCCTCCTCTATGCAGGTATAAGCTCATGAAAGAGCAAAAAAACTGCCAAGTCAGCACAAACTGAGTCGATGTAGGCAAGGAGCTCAGCTTCATCACTTTAAATACACACACACACACACACACACACACACACACACACACAGATTTTGCTGAACTACATATAGCCTAATCACATTCTACTTTAGATAAAGCGCCATTTTATTATCAAGGACACTCACTGATAAAAAGTATGCGAGTACATTAATGTGAGGAGAAATTAATATGAAATGCTAGATTGGATGCACATGTATTGGGGTGGTGAGTATGTGTGTGTGTGTGTTTGTGTTACACAGGTTTTTACATTACAACATGCAAAATTCTACTACCCTTGACAGGAAATTGCATTTTTACATCATGGTGACCATGACAACGAAATCTGCAGTGCCTGTCAGTGCGATTTACGAGACAATTTTTGAAAAAGAGAAAGTGACACTAAAAGAATTATGCTACAAGGTCAAAAATGGGAAAAAGGAACTGCATCGTTAAGGCTAAAGTTATATTCCAAAGACAAAACAAAGTTAAAGAAAAGCCAATGCCTCTTGATTGTGATACAATAAATAGATAGAAACCTTTTAAACAAAAGCCTTTTGCGGTTTCCTCTCCATCCACACAGCATATTTTATCCTGCTGAAATTCACAATCTCCCCACTCTGGGTGGCAAAGAATGAACCACAATTGCAACAATTGATTCATAAGTAAATGGCTGCTTCCCTTACCAGTAAAGTTGAGAAGGGCAAGCTGTTTTCTGCTGCAGGTGCTTTAGCTATTTCAATGAAATATTAAGAGGAGGTGAAAAGGCAGATAAAATAATGCTGCTCCTCACCGTTTAGTTCATTTTACACTTATAAAGTGGATGAGTATAAGAAAGAAAGGAAGACAGAACGGCAGTACAGAGAAAAATTCTGAAAAAATTGCAGTTTGTGATGGGTGTCTCTAGACATGTGTGTGTATAAGATGAATAAAACACGAGAGAGAAAGAGCAGGGAGACATATCCTGCTGTCAGACGGGTAAGCAGACAGAGAGACGGACACAAAGAGGCTTCCAGCATTTCCTGACTCACATCCATGGTTGGTTGGCAGAGATCCACATCTCCCGAATGAGTATGTGAGGGGGATTTCTTGTGTGTTTGCGCTCCAGGATGTGAACAAGATTCTCAGCCAGCTCCCCTTCAGCAGACTTGTCCAAACAGGCTTTTGGTCTCATGCGTCAGCTTCTGCCCTAGAAAGGAGTGCAGACGCTGAGATGAGTTTTACCCTGCAGGAAACAAAAGTCTGATGGAGTTAAACAGGATCTGATCAAACAGGGTCAGAAAGATTTCCTATCTGAAGTTTGCACGTTTAAAGTCAGCACACAATAATTGAAGGACCAATTGCTTTAATTTCACCAGTTTCCTTTATTTGAGACAGGAAAGCTCCAGGACGTTTTGGGCTCCACCATTATTCAAATTATATTGAGTAGTAAATGTTTCTTTTCTCTTTTCTTTATAAGAAATATTGAGAAATATCACTCAAAATAGTTCACATTTTAGACATAAATTAAAGAGGAACAGTTTTTACTGTAGAGAAGTAAAATCTGGCTGATGTTTTAAGTTGTCTCACTTACTGTCTTTCAGGCAGACCCGGGAGCAGGAAACGCCTCCTGACTTCTTCTACTTCTCCGATTTTGAGAGACACAATGCTGAGATTGCTGCTTTTCACCTGGACAGGTGAGTTTTACATCCTTGTCACTCTTTTTTTTTTATAAATCAGTTTCCCGTTTGATTTTTAAATCCTATGTCGCTGTTTTTTCAAGGAAAAAATAAGCAATCGTATTCATATTCACCACCACAACACTTTCGATACATCTGGAGGAGACTAGCAATGGATATGGCATGTGAAAATTTGAACGGGATTAAGCACACAAGGGATTAGATAACGCACCCAGAGAAGGGATCATCTTGTCTGCTTTCTGCTGAGTATATTTATTCTAACATGATCCTTTCACTCTAAGGACTTCAGTTGACAAAAACAGAGCACTTAGGAGAGTCAAATATAATAGAAGGAGGATGATAAATGGAGTAAAGCAAATTTTCCAAATGATCATTTCTTCTCACATGTTGTCAAACAGCAAAGCAATGCTCTCATTTAATTTAGGTCTCTGGCATGTGTTATCAATCCCAAAGGCATGCTATTTCCACCAGAACACGGCTTTGGTCTTACAATGGTGGTGGTTTTTAACACGGCTGCATGTGGGACTGCTTTTAAATAAAAGGCCAGTTGCCCAGCCACTACAGCTCTAAAAAAAAAAATGAACGGAGCGTGGAAAATAACTTCCATGCTTTCCAGTAATGCCTTCTGAATCTCAGGGTGTTTGTGTCTGCTGTGCTGTTGTGACCTGCATGTGACTCAGAAGTGTGCAACCAGTGGTGTGCGTACAAATGAAAGTGTCAGTGTGCTCTCCGCAAAAAACACACAACACACTCACATGTGCATGCGTATGCACAGGTGCTCCTTTGTCAGGGGGGGGCTGACATGACCATGCAGTTTACAGCCCCTGAATGCTGTTCTCTGTGGGCTAAAGTTTCACCAGGTCTGTCTCTCTCAGAGAGGCTTTCTGCATGTCTACCTGCTCCCAGAAGGCTTAGCTTTAGGGTGTGCAGGGTCAGGGTCATTTGGACGGTAAACGTACAGGGAGACAGGCTAAACAGAGGCTGAATGGGTATGGTTTTCTGATTAAAGCGCATAGACAAAAAACGGGGAAAGAAGGAGACAGGTTTTTTTTTTACCAAACTGATCTGTATTCAGATCAGATTGGTAAAAGAAAAATCAGTAAGATTTGCTCAGTGTGGTGTGGTCCTTTTCTCTGTGTAGAATGTTATTTTATAACAGCAATAACATCCATCATTTCCTTCCTTGCTGAGCTTGATGAGAACCAATGATATGAGAAGAGGAAATGCTGTAAGATCCATCCATCTGTTATACCACTTTTTCCCTATGGAGTAAAACTTTAAAAAACAACAGGATTAGTACAACTTTGTGAACAGAGACCAAACAAATTTAGTCTTACACTGACGTAACAATTACTAAGTACAGTACTATTTTTGTTTCAGTGTCTCATGTTTTTTTGGTGGCCATTTTTATTACGATTAAAACAGACATACTCTAAATATTAGGCAGAAAATGAACACAAAGGAGCAATAGGATTTGAAATGGTTTTGTTTTATCGCTGTAACATTTGAATAATTATTTTCATTGGGGCAAAAGGAAACGTCTGGCAGACGCAGGTCACCATGCACGTGTTTGCAGAATGATAAAACTCCTATTCATATTCATACGAATCCCATGTAACATATATAGTTTTTCAGTTTACTGAACATGCTTTGAACCTGTTAATAAACAGGGGCAGAAGGTGCTGCATATTTTATGTATTAAATGGAATATGAAGTAAGAAACATGGCTAGAAACTTTGATTCAACTCTTGACGTCTGTGTCTGTCAGGATTCTTGATTTTCGGAGAGTACCCCCGGTGGCAGGGCGGCTTGTCAACATGACAAGAGAGATCAGAGATGTGACGCGAGACAAGAAGCTGTGGAGGACCTTCTTTATCTCACCAGGTAGCGACTTCAAAATAAGCAGCCCGACAGAGAGATTTGGTTTCTTTAATAAGAAGAAAGCTCAGAGCTAATTTTGCTGGCGGCTTTCATTAAATACGTCCAAATCAGATGGTCAGGATTGTTTAATGAGTTTTATCAGTCTCCTGATCTGTTCTTCACAAAGCAAAAGAGACAACAGTGCACTTAAACATAAACAGTATGACGCAATAAAGAAAAGGCACAACCCAAAGTTTCCACATGGTGGCACTATAAGCCAGCCGACTGCCAAGTGTAGAGCAGTGCAATACTACAGGAGCTACAGCCTCAATCTTTGCATTCAGCTAAATGAGAAGAAATTAATATAATCTACCCAGTTTTCTAGAATCCTTTATTTTATTTCATTTCAATCTTAAATACTGTAAAGAATGTAAAGAACTGAACAAGGTATCTATATATCCATCCTAATTTTTTCCTTATCTCATGGTTCAGTTTTCCAGCTAACAGAACCTTAAGTTGAACCTTAAATCACAGAGAGGATTTTGCCTTTTTTTTCTTTTTTTATCCTCGAGCTCTTCTATACAAAACTCTATGAAACAAAAATGCACTTATTAAGAACAGTTTTTCATAAGACACACGGAGCCAAAAGAGGAAAAGTCACGAGCTAACACATTATTTTGCCAGTCATCTCTTATTAGTGTTCCAGGTTGTCTTAAACTATTTATCATTAACCAAAATCACTCTGATGGAAGTCTGAAGTCAAACATTGATTTCAAGAGCAAAGAAAAACAATTCTTTACATCGAAAACAGACATTTACAGACATGCCCTGAAAAATGCAGAGTAAATGTACAACATACATTTAGCAACAGTGAACAGAATGTGAAAGCGTTATCAAGTAATCCTTTAATTAATTGTGATTGCAATCAGCTTAAAAGTACTTATTGAAGGGATGTGCCTCCCAGCTGTTCAGTCACCAGCTGGAAAACACCCTGCATGGCATGAAAACGGTGATGTTAAAAAGTGATGATTTGAAAATTAGAGTGGCTTCATGGAAAGTTTTCTAGATTTAGTCAGCCTTAGGTTGATTTTTCCAAATCAATTGATTTAGGTTGATTTTTTTAGGTTGATTTTTCCAAATCAACCTAAGGCTTCTTTCTCTTCCTTTTGTTAACAAATGTCTACTTTTCTTCCAACAGCCAATAATGTGTGCTTTTATGGGGAATGCTCCTACTATTGCTCCACTGAGCATGCTCTGTGCGGTAAACCAGACCAGATTGAGGGATCCCTGGCAGCCTTCTTACCAGACCTCAACCTGGCCAAACGCAAGACCTGGAGAAATCCCTGGAGGCGCTCGTACCATAAACGCAAAAAAGCAGAGTATGCAGCTACTTTTTACTTCATGTTGATGAAAACCAACTTCAGTAATTGCAGAATGACTTTAAATTCTGGGATTGTTTCCTTATTTTTCCGTGTTACTTTTAGGTGGGAGGTGGATCCTGATTACTGTGATGAGGTGAAGCAGACACCTCCATATGACCGTGGCACTCGATTGCTGGACATCATGGACATGACCATCTTTGACTTTTTAATGGGTAATTAGAAAGAAGCAAGCACTGACACACATAGATGTAGAACAGAGGGAATTGGACAGGATTTTCTCAACATTCTTTTCTCAACTTGTTCAGGAAATATGGACCGTCATCATTATGAAACATTTGAGAAGTTTGGAAATGAAACCTTCATCATTCACCTTGACAATGGAAGGGGGTAAAGACATCTCACTTTTTTTGGTTTATCTTATAAACCAGATATTTATGCTTCACCTCTAGAACAGGTAGAATATCCAAATGATGAAGTTCATAGTTTGGATTAGTCACACACTGATCTTCATTTCAACTCTTGCAGGTTTGGAAAACACTCCCATGATGAGCTGTCCATCCTGGTGCCGCTCAACCAGTGCTGCAGGTCAGGCTTTGGTTTAACTCTGGAAATCATATCATTTGGTAGAGTTCAAATCTCTTCCTTGGCTATGTGTGTCATTTCTGGGCTTCAGAGGAAGAAAAGTTTTGCCTGCCTGATCTTTGCCTACATAATCCATATATTTCAGTAGAGCCTTTCAGTTTAGAGCAATACAAGAGTAGAGTGACATATAAACCACGCTCTCGATGGCAGCTTCTTGTTGACCTTTACAAATTGGCCAGCAATAGTGAAAAATTCCCTTCTTTTTTCTTTAATTAATGGTGTTTGCATTCAGAAGTCCCCCCTCAGATCTGTTCTTTGCAAGATGACATTTTCCCTCAAGCTGTCCAAACAAGCCCCTGCTATGTTAGCAAGATTCCAGCTGACATTTTAAACTTTGAACAGGTCATATTCATTAATATTTTTAATAAGATTTTAATTTTTTTCTCTGCACCTCTTGATTTATTTTGGCTGGAAGGATGAAGTTATTATGTTGACATAGAGTCTAAGTCATCCAGGACATAGTTATCCCAAGAGCTTGAGTAAAGGTAACTGGACTTCTTCTTGGACCCAAAAAGATTGGCTGTTGCCTCTTCTCAAGTTCTTTGGATAAAATGACTACATCATGTGATCATCTTGTTAATAACGGAAATTTGAAAAAGTAAACTGTATTGTTGGTTGTTTTTTTTACAGAGTGAGGAAATCTACTTACCTACGTCTCCAGCTCCTGGCCAAAGAGGAATACCAGCTGAGCTCCCTAATGGAGGAGTCCCTGCTCCATGACCGCCTGGCCCCTGTGCTTATCCAGCCACACCTTAACGCGATGGACCGCAGGCTCCGGCTGGTGCTCCAGGTCCTGGCTGGCTGCATAGAGAAAGAGGGCTATGTTAATGTTGTGGAGGAGGACCTAGAGGGAGACACGGCCACCCACAGGGGCCCAGGCCACAGGTAGTGAGCTTGAGGCTGCAGGATGACAAGAATGAAAACAGACATATATCCAGTGGACCATATCTGTGGCCGTTTAACCAATGGGATTACACCAAAAGTCCCACTTCTGATATCAAGCTGAATTCAGTGAATTCCAAGACTTGCCATCATTGCCTCTACAGAAACTGCTTTTAGTTGTGTTTCAATGGAAAAAGTGTCCACACATATATGAGACTGTGCTGCTTAAACAGAGGCTTTATATTTGTCAAGTACAGACATATTTTTTGTTGTATCTGTATGACATAAAAGGACTTCTGCCGTGTTTCCAATTTTAATTAGTTTACTCCGAACATTGAAGACGCCAGTTTGGTCTATCATATCATATAACCAAATCAAATCAGTGCTGAATGAACAGTGTATGGTCAGAAAATAAGCTTTATTAGTTATCACAATGTATACAAAGCGTGAGAAAGTGAAGGGAATTTTCTTTCTTTGCATCAAACATGTCAAGATTTAAAGTTTCCCTTGATTGCTTCAAAGACGCGGTCATGCTCGAAACAAAGAGCTCGAATTCAGTAGACAACGAGCATATCCAAAAAGTGTGTTCTCTTTATAATCTACATTTAAAGTTTTTTTTTATTTAATTGTTGGTTTGCTTTGTGGTACAGACTTAAAACAGAATGACTGATATTAATTCAGCATAGACCTGAAAATAAGGATTTCAAACTGTAGTTTAAAGTACTTTAAATTTGCCTTACTGTCTGTATATTTTTTCATTTTAATTTTCTTACTCTTCCAAAATCTGTGCTTGCACTACATGCAGTAAAACAAAACCACAGTAAATTATATTTACCAAACCAAAAAAAATCTAGTTGGGAGGAAACCTGAAGCGTTAACCATAACTCTTCACAGTTTATGCAATGCAAAGTGCTTCTGTATTGATTCATTTTATTAGATTTTTTCGTCCAATTTCCCTTTTTTTTTGCATAGAAAATCATTCCAATGCTATAAAAGAATTTACATTATGGTTTTGCCTCTTGTTGCTTCATGCATAACAAAAAACAGTATTTATAATGGTTATTTTTCGCATTTTGATACTGTTGAGACTGACATTCCTGTGGATGCTATGTTCATGTTCACGTGCTAGAAAAACAACAAAGCCAAATTTGGAGAATTAGCTGTGGTGCCAGTCCTGTACACTGGCTAACCCATTGCCTGTGCAATGCCAGAAATACTGTATTTGAATGTGTTTGGGTTGGCAGTATTGACAGGATTCAAAGAGCTACAAATATGTAAAGTCAGGTTCGAGGAGTGCTTTGGGCTGATAAGATAGGTTACAACAACTCATCTAACCACAGGGATAACTATGGGCACTGTTTCTTGTTTATTTTTTTATTTTTTTTTGTTTGTTTTTTGTATTCCTAATGTAAATACCTATAAATATTTGAAAGATCCGTCAAACTGCACTGCACAGTGAGTTGCTTCTGTTTTCTGCTCCTATCTGTTACTGTGAAGACCTGTTTACTAAAGGATTAAAGTGTGCAATACAAGCAAAAGGCAAGGCAGTTCTCTTAATGGCTATAGGTGGCTGTAGATGCATTTCCCTTAATGTCTGTGCAGAGATGGACGCGTGTTTGAGGTGTCACATGTGAAGTTCATGAGAAAATGCTTTTTTAATTTTAGATAAATAATCCCCATCACAAACCTTACAGCCTCAACAGCTTTTTAAGCAATACCAACAAGTAATGAGCCCACTCTAAAATAAAGCACATAACTCGAGACGAAATTCTCAAACAAGTCAGACTGTGTCACCATACATCTGGCCAGATGCTAGAGGGAAGTAGATGACATGTGGGGAATCCTGTTAGATGGTATTTTCATACTGTGTTTAAAATGTAGCCTTAATTTACAGTTTTGAATGCAAATTCTGTTAACTTTACTTTGTTGACGACCCAACTGATAGAAACAATCATAATTTTTTGTTCTTCAAGGTATAAATACTGAACTCAGCATGGCTAACCCAACTACAGAGACCTCAGAAGCATTAGACGCTGTCCATGGTGCTGCACTCACACTGCAGCTGTGATCATTAGAGGCACTGCGAGGTAGCTGTCCACGGTGCTTGACAGTTGTCTGTGGTGTATCCAAACCAAAAGCAGATGCACTGTAAGTGGAACCAGTGCAAGGCAACGTCCTTGTCAGCATCGTTAAATGATGGACGTAAAATGTCAAAGTACTGAAAAGGTGTTGAAAAAATGCGTGCGTCCTATTGATGTGATCAGCTATTGCTATCTGAACCATGAACAGTTTGAGTGAAGGAGGATATTAAGGGAATGAACGATCTGGCATAGGTCAGTCAGCTTGTTCTTATTGTCATTGCTTTAGCTGTCAAAGGTGTTTACCAAAAGAAAAAACTCTTTCTTGAAACTTGACACATAGGGGATGAAACAAAGACTAATATCTGAATTACATCTCCTTTGCCAGGGTTCCTTTCTGTCTTTTTTAAGTCGTATTATCAACTGTTTCTTAGACTAAATATCTGGACCATATTTTATTCCTGGCACTACAATTACTGCACGTAGATGTGTACTTAACAGTTTCCAGGAGAAGGCGCCAGTGTGCATCTCATATAATTTGAAATTACAGGGGGAATTCACTGGGTGGCACCAAAGCGTCATGGTTGTGGGTGAGGTGTTTACATCTGTGGCGTAGAAGTGACGCTGTGTTGTCCTGAATTGACATTGTAGCCAGTGAATATCTTGTTTTTGTTTATTTTCTTTATCTGTTTGTTAGTTCAATCGTATGCATTTGGCTTAATCATAATCAACCTGAAGCTAAATGAAAAAAATAATAGATTAGGACCTCATTCGAATGATGCAATATCGCACAGGGGTCCCTACAGTGGTGAAAATGTGCTATTTGTAAGACAAATTAAGTAATCTTCTGTTTTATGTATTATTGTAAACACCAGCACCGCCTCTAGACTGTGTTATAGTCTTGTGCAATGATAAAGTTGAATTGGTTAACCTAAAATTATGCTGCATGGTACAGTTTAGATTACATACAGAGAGTTGTTTTTTTATTAGGTCCTCTAGTTGTCCTCTGACTATTTGTGACGGTACACAAACAATTCCAATTCAACACTCAATCCCAAGATTTGATCCTGCCTTAACAGAAAAAATCATCCCAAACACTACCATTAGATTTTTCTGGCTCATTCATAATTGCTCTTGATGTTGTTTACCCACAACAACAAACCACCCCACAATTCTCTCACCTCATTCAGAGGCAGCCTCTCCTGCCTAGTAACAGTATCCAATGCCACTGTCCTCCTGTCTCTATGGCAACAGAGAGCCACCCCTTCTCGCCCTGATTCCAATTGATCTAAGGTGTGTGTGGTCCTGGACGACCCTGACCCTCAAAGCTCCTCTGCATCCTGCCTCACCACCACAGAACTCGAGTCATGCCTCAGCTGGAAGACACATCCGCGGTAACTTTTAACGAGGACACAGAAAACGTAAGGGATCACACGAGTTACTTAAAATAAGTTTCTGTAGGAGAGCTTTATGAGCAGCGCCCTATCCCCTGAATTCTGTTGAAATGGCTCGCCGATCTCCAGTGCGAAATGTTCCTTGCTTTTGAACAGAAAAGCGCTGTGAAAATACTAAATGCCCCACATGCCTGCACACACCCACGAGCTGCACACACAAACACTGTTTGTGTGCGTGTGAGCGTATGGTGAGCTGAGATTAGAGGCGCTTTCAAACGCTTCTTCAGACGCAGTCGTGTTTAACCCCTGTCCATCTCGATTGATGTCAGCGCTGTAGGCAAAATCACGCCTGGCTCAGATCCGCATTGATCAAAACAAATGAATCCCGTGGAGGATAGCCGCACCGAAAAACGTTAAGCACATGGGCACAAACGTGTAGCATGCATATATTCAAAGCTTAGTTGGGCTGTGTGTGTGTGTGTGTGTGTGGTTTTCCTGACCCCCCGAGCTTTGGAATTCATCAGAATGTCGAGTTAAACTGGCTGATGCGATTTTCCAATTTTAGGCCAGCAGTGTCAAGTCGAGCAGTGGAACAGGCCGATATATCTCTCTGCAAATCAGACATATAGGCCACATCTCCATGCCTTACTTCTACTAAAAGCGACAGATGAGTGCCATTACTTTTAAAGACGCCTGAATGAGAATGCAGCAGGCCTGACCACCTTGTTTTTCAGTCAGCTGAGCAGCAGTCTGGCTCTGCCCGTGCCAGCAGGAGCCGTCTCCGTCTCTGAACTCATGAATTATTAAAGGACGACTTTTTCACGGCTGCAGCTAAAATTAGGAATAACCTTACGTTGGCTATAATCAGAAAGCAGGCGGAAAGCATTAATTTATAACAGCATTTGGCGAGTGACATTTCCAAGTGATGGTCGCGTGCACGTGCGTCTGTGTGTGTGCGTGCGCGTGCACCGAGCTGTTAAGCCAGGCGACAGATACCAAACTCCTCCAGTCTGTTATCAAGGTCAGACGCAGGCGCGTTATTTGCGTCAGGAGCACCGGGAGAGAAATTAAACACCAAATCAATCGCCCTTGAACCGCCGCGCGTGCGCGTGTTGGCCAGTCCGCGTGCAACCGACTGCGTATGCGTAAGGGCACAAATTCTGTTTGCCGAGGTTGTGAGCTCTGCACCTCCACTCATCTCTCCATCTTGTGTGTGTGTGCGCGTTAGCCTGCGCGCCAGGAGCGATCACGGGCCATTGCCGTAATTGCACAGCGCGCAATATATACGGCAGGGGAGGAGGGGGAGGAGGGGGAGGAGATGAAGGTGGGGGGGGGGCGCTTGTAAACCCGATGAAAACACCCTCGGCTGCACAGGAGAAATTCAGGATGACCGAGATTGGCGACGCTGGGGCGGTTGCGACTAGCGCCCCTTTTTTTGCACGAAAGAACAAGGAAAGAAAAGAGGAGAAGATGCTAATTATTGACGCGCGCACAAGCAAGCTGCTTCCAGCTCTTCATCTGCCACTCAGGAGGAA